AATGCTCTTGACAGCATAGAGGCACATTTTTGATGTTTGTCAAACTTTCTGACACACTTTTATCCATTTTGAGACCATGACAAAAATGCTGCAAACATTTTTGTGAAATGTTAGTCTCATTTTCTGACCAAAATCTTATAAGGAAATGACAGCAAAGATTGAAAAGTAGGATTTCTTGCTTTCATAGGCACTATGCTGTCTGAAATCGTTCCCAAAAGAATGAGGATGAGCATGAGCAAGGAAATAACAAATATACCTCACTAGAAAGCTTCTAAAACATTTTCATTTTTTATTCTTAATTGTTACTATCATTTTCAAGAATTTTCCACCAAGCATGGAATTTTGCACTGAGCTGTGAAAATTATTCAAGGGCCCAGTTGTTCTTTTGTGATTTTCACAAACTTGGCCTAGAGGTCCATTTGAAGACCTGAACACTCGAAGTTGCTGGGTGCATTGGTTTTGTTTCTGTAATCTGAGTGAAGGCTTACCTTTTAGCTAATTTGACTTTCTCTTGCAGGAGGTCTTACTAACTTGGAATTAACTTGATATTACCTATAACTGTAGGTAGCCACTTACTTACACTTAGAGCATGATTTTGAGGGAATTATTCTGCAGACTTCAGAGAAGCTGCTTGTACAATTCCATCTGGGAGAAGCATCAGAATATGGCCCTGTGCACTCAGAACAAACAATGTGGATATTCTTACTAATATTAAGGTAACTTGTGCTTGATTTACTCCACAGATGAACCTTTGGACTCAGATCTCAGCTAGCGTTAATTGATGTAGCTCTGAATTTAATTAAACTTTGGAAGCTCTCACTGCCTGAGAATCTGTCCTGTAGGTTGTTTTAGGAATAAGCTTATATTTGGTTTGATCTATTCACAATTGCAATTTATGCTTTAACTGAAGGTAAATGATGGCTATTTGGTGATTAATATCCTGTTCTCATTCTAAGTCAACTTCAGATGTGCTGACTTAATTTATCACTAAACATCACTTACTGTCTAACCGTAATTACAAGAAAAAGCGCATCATTCGGACCTTTGAGCAATCATGTGGGCAGACCACCCCTTAAAGTTTGCCTCTAATTTTCTATAAAGCTAGCACTTTCTTCTCTGGGGAGATCTTTGCAAGTCCTTTGCAAAAAGGAGAATCATAGGGAAGTGGAGGCTGTGGTTTTGAAGGCAGTTTGTGAAGCTGAAGCCGAGAAGGGACACTCTCAGAAAGATCAAAGGCAGCAGCAAGATAATTTTTGTTAGACAAAACCATCAGTTGCTAATTATGACATTATCACTGCGCAAGTGTGTGTGTGTGTGTGTGCGTGTAAGGATCAGTGGTGGGTAAATTGTAGTCAAGCAAGGTGCAGATGGGCCAATCATGAATGTAACAATGTTTAAGTCTCAGGGACCCTTAAGGAAAAAGGATGTAGGTGCAGTAGGTGCTATGATCACCTTCGCTTCTTTTGAAAAAGACAAGGACTTGGGCTGCTTTGAATGTTCTGAGGGTCCTACTGAGTACTGGTTTCAATGGCGTGATTCACCACTGCATTGAAAGAAATTTTTCTGCCACCCAGCTTCAGTAATTCTTTCAAGGGGAGTGCAGCAGGGACCTTATTGTACAGCACTGCGTTTTGAGAATAATTAAGATGAAATTTCATGTCTGCTCAGATGTACTGTATTTCAGGGGCAAAAATATTCTGTATGCATGTTCTTTCTTCAAATAACAGGATAATTCCTCCAAGAAAACAAAACCTGCTTGCTTCAGCTCCAAAAGGCAGTAAAGAGGTGAGATTGCCTGCAGTTGGGTCCATGCCTGTCTATTTCCAAAGGCAGGGAAATTATCATTTTTTAGAAATTCCCTGAGGCAGCAGTAGCCAAGCCAAGTTGGCTCTAGCCAGCTCTTGTTTGTAAAATGCAATTCTGTGGTAATGAGCTGGTGACAACTTGAAGAAAAGAGTCTAAACATCCTGAAAACAATTCCAAACATGACTAAATATGAGAAGAAAACTTCTAATAACTGCCTCATGGGAATCAAGAGCAGTCCATGCAAATTCAAACATCATTTATTTTCCAGACAAGAATATATATGTTATGATCCTCTTCCTTTTTTTTTCCTCCCAGAATATATATGTAGGTAAGTGTATATCTCTATACCTGTTATTTGTCTCTCCAAATGACCAATATTTCATGCAGGAGCTAGCAGTTTTGTCATTGCTGGAAAAAAACAGAAATTGAAGTCTTAGCCAACACCAGATGTGACCACAGGAGATGTAAATGGATTAAAGCTCTGTAGTGATGATCTATCTGCCTGGAGATTTTTATGCTACAGTGTTTTGATTCAACAATTCATGAGACTTACGCTAGGCAACAATGCAGCAAAAATAACCAACTAATACAGAAAAATTTGCATTGATTATTTTAGCCAATAATGAAATAATGAGTATATTGTACACAAAGTGGAATCAATCTGGATTGTTATCTCTGAAACAATCCACTGTATTCCTAGGCAACACAACATACTCTTCTGATGTTTCCCCTTATCAGTTTATGGCTTGGCCACTGAAGCTGGTATAAATTTCTTTCATTCCTGATATGTTAAGAGGCAAAGAATTTTATTTCAGTTTAAAGCACCATGAAGAACTGCAGCAATAATGTTGAAGACTCCATAGTCTAAAAATGTAATTTCTTGGAATATGAATACTGGTTTTTGGACCTCAGGAACACAGCATCCTCTACGTAGCCCTGTCCCATGTCCCAGACCTCTAGACCACTTGCAGTGAGTGTAATTTCTGACAAAACCATGTCTGGTTTTAACTCCTGAGCAGTGAAAACAAGCTTACAGAAACCAAAGTATTGGGCTTAAAAATTTCAGACCAGTGCTAGACTTCAGAGACAGTTTGCTAGGGAGTTACTGTTGTTATGTGTGTTAGTGAAACTGCTTGCATTAGCAGTCTTAGTTCAAAGCAGGTCAGGCTGTAAGACAGCTTGCCAGGGGTTGAATTCTAAGTGTTACCTGTTAATGGATAAGCAGGGCACTAACACTCAAATCCTGTTACTCAAGCGGTAATCACAAGCAAGTGTGTTTATAGTGGAAACCTGAGATTCATCTGAGGCATTTGAATAGCATGTTATTAATGATCCTATTTTAAGGAAGTTCTTGCATAAAAGAATTACTAAGAGGGAATGTGATGACTCATTAAACAGAAATTCAGACTTCATTTTGCTTTGTACAGCTTGTCTAGTGCCCATGTTTAATATTTCAGTTCTTCCAGAATAATGGGAATGGGGGGAAGGCATATTTCAGAGTATACTGGCAATTTATTTCTTTTACCATAAGGGATTTTTGTCTCTGACAATTATGCCAGATGAATCTGATAACCATTCAGTAACACTGAGCTGGATTTTTACCACAGTAATTACTTTTGTGGTGATTTGCTGCAGAAGATAATACAATGCAGTGGGTGACTCTTCTGTGTCTTGAACATCCACACTATCTTCTCACCAAATATAGTCTTGAAAGCTTTTTATGGAGTCTGAGAGAACAGAAATACAGCTGAATGTTCTCAAAAGTAGAAAAACAAGAGCAACAAATAAATTTTGGGAAAAACAGACTCAGTTGTACGATCCTTTGTAGCAGAGACTGAGTTGGCCATTATGGCTGCTGCAATATTAAAAGGAATAATAATTCCAAGCGTTTAATGACCCAGGATCCCAGTCCTATCATCTTCCCTATGGCAGCCAACAGTAAACTCATTAAAAACCTTTCCTCAACATTCTGAAATTACCACTTAACACCAAGAGTGATATTTTTTATACCACTGTGTTACAAATCTATTTAACTTGCAAATGCCCACTGTCTTTGTAAGCACATGGATAAAGGGGAGCTTTATCAGGCTGTGTGAACATGTTTTGCTTTGGGTTTTTTGCAGCAACAGAACACAGTCTTTGCAAGATTGATATAAGAAATTTTCACTCTTGTTGTCTGACTAGAGTATCAATGCTTCCTGCTGATGAATGTGTGTGTTCAGCATAGCTGCACTCCAGAATTTGCTGATTGGGTTTACAGTTGAAAATCCAGTAACATCAAGTGTTTTTCCTCACATTGCTTCCTCTTATTCAGGAGATACAAAGCTTTTCACACTAGTTGGTTAAGTAAGCCTCACAGATTCAATATTAGTGAACGTTATGAAGCAAAGTTGGAGGGAGCTGCCTGGGAATAGCCAGTGGGTCAGCAGCAGGGCTGAAAACACTCAAGGAGCCCTCGGAGGTAATAGCTCTTATCCTTTTGACCACCAAACTGCACTAAGTGCTTGCTTAAGTGCTCAGCTGCTGTTGAACCTTGAACTTTCAAGGACATCAGGATAGCAGATAAATGCTGAGTAGTCCAAGAGCAGGCATCCATTTTTTTTCAGCGGAGGGGAATTAGCAGCCAAAGGGTTAATGGTATTTGCTGGAAGACTGCAGCAATTGAATGCTCACTGCCTCAGCCCTGGGGCCTTTCTCTGAGGGTTTTCGAGAAAACAAGGCCAGGACTCTTCGAGGGAAGCTAAAAGGTTCAGAGGGGTTTCTTTTGCAGCGTGGCAAAAAACAACTGTATATTCATTTACATTGTTTAGAGAACTTTTATTCAGTTGCAGTTCCAACCCTCTTGATCATACTGCTGAGTGTTCAAGGCTAACAACTGGAGAGTCAGTGGTGGCCATTGTAGCTGGGTAGTGCCCTGATGCTGGCAGACAAGAGAAGGGATCCTGCAACCCTCTGAGGACAGCCCTGCTTTATGCTGCTGGCAGAGAAATTTCCTTTATGAAGAAAAATCCTTTTCTTTCCTCTCCTTCGTTCTTTGAAATAAGATTTGCTCAAAGCCCCTCCCAAGAGGTATGTCTGTATTGAAAGGGCACTGGGCAAATGTAAGCCCTTGAATATGGGAAAGCATAGGCACATGATGTTAATGGCATTACTTGCTGTGCTTTAAATTAATCACTTATGTATGTCTTTTGCAGAGCCAAGACTATGATGAACTGTCAGCCAGTATAAAGCAGAAAAAGGGCAGATTTTACAGTTGCTGTGGATGCCTGATATCAGCTTCTCTGGAAAAATTCAAGGATATTTTTGGTTCAAGATTAAGAAGTCACCAGATAAATTATTAGCCAGCTGAATCCTACTTATTTTACATATATGAGCAAACGACACTATTGAAACAATATTCTGCACTTAGTGCTGTCAGTGGATATTCACACATTGTTCTTAATGTGTTGTTTCTTTCCCAGAGCAATATTAGTTTAGATGTTTTAAACATGAACCTGATTTTACGTCTTCATTTGCAGCCTGTTTTGCCCAGTATTGACAAGATGTGAGTTTTCTTTCCACCGTGAAGCTGCAGGCCTGGATTCTCACTGTTTACCTCTACTGTTGTACAAATTATGTCATTATACTGGTCTAAAAAATGTCAATAAAGGATTTTTAATGGGTTTTGAGCCTGTGCAGACTGCTTGTAATAGGCTAAATGCTGCCACCGGGTTGTCTTATGCAACATTTTTTGGAATCTGGCTCAGATTACCAGAAGAGTTGTTAATTTTAAATTTGTTTAGTTTAAAAAGAAAGAAATGCAAACACAGAGGAGACAATGCCTTAAAGTAGAGAAGTGTGCCAGGTTGATCTCATTTAAGAAAAACTTTTGTCCCTTCATCTCCACCTCCAGCTGGATCTTTGTGAGAAAATTGCCAGCCATTTTAAAGGCACTAAAGGGGAAACCTTTGCTAAGACTGCCCCTCACCCCACCTCCTGAATGTCTTTTGATAATGCTCTGCAGCTTCCTAAATATGCCTATGAAAAAAAAAAAACCACCAAAAAACCCCTCACAAAGCAGAAGCAAAAGAATTCTCTTGAATGCTCCTGAATGACCTACTGTGCTGCACAAGGGAAGGACTAGCTGATTTTATCAAGCGATGCTTTCCTTGCTCTTATCTTAGAACATTTAATGTCTCTTTTTTCCACCTACATATTGTTATGGTGATCCCTGGTTTCCTCCCCCTCCTTCGTTTTTCTCTCCCCCTCCCCAGTGGCAGTAAAGCCAAAGGGAGAAGGAACCTTTAAGAAGTGGTGTAATTATTAACTAATTTTGATCTTGGGAAGGAGGGCAACCAAAGTATTTCCTGTTTCCTATAATTAAGGACTCAAGACTCAGTTCTGCCACACACACACACGCAGTTTATTTTTAATGTACTCTCCATGGAATATAATCCGCTGCTTTATTTCTATATCTTTGGCCAAATTCATAATTGGTGTAAACAGCTGTTACTCAACTGACAAGTCCTAAAATGTGGGTGAGGGAAAATGAGGTTATAAGGTTTCATCTGCTTACATCAGGAACGCATTTGTCCTGTTTGTTCTTCCCCTTCACCTCCTAGTGATCTTGGGAATAACAGCAGTGGAGGCAGAGGAGTCTCTGAGCTATACTGAAGCAGAACAATTTGGCCTTGCATGCTCAAAAGAACTGGGCAGTCTGTATATCCATGGGGCAGGTCATGGACACTTGGCTACAGATACTAAAGATGAAAGATCCCATACATCCTGCTGGTAAAATTTTCCAACAGGGTTTAAGAGCTGCATAAGGAATCTAAATGTGTAAATACTGGGGTGGAAAAATTAGATGCTATAATTTGGAATGACCTGAATAATTTCTTTGGAAGATTCCCATGCAAGTTGCTGAACATACTATTGGAACTCAATAAATAGCCAGATGCATGTAGGTTTTAGTGTATTTTATGTGATATCTGTCTTCTGTGTGTCTAAATGCCTCTTCCTCCCTAGAATGGTTGGCTGAACCATTTTTTGAACTGTTCATCATTTTTGATCCACACCTGAATGTGTTGCTATTGAGAGCTGTCACATCAATGTAAACAGAACACCAACGCCTTCTGAAACAGTTAGACTTCCATTAATGCAGGTTTGGTACTGGAAAGAGTAAAGTGATATGGTTTTGGAAGTGGGTGCTAATGACTAGCAAACAGAGGAGGACATGAGTGTGATTGTAAGCTCTCTTCTTACCAGTTTCATTATGTTTGGTGTCCCCACTTTCCATTTTCTGGGGCACTGAGGTTATAAAAAATATCAACAAATAGTAGGAAATATCCTTCCCAGTCACCCTTCCTCAAAGAAGAGGCCTAAGAAGTGATAACAGAGAATATCCACCTCTTGCTTTTCCATTTGAGGACTTGTATATCGTATTATATTTCATTTTATTTGACACTAAAGTGTTTGTTTGCCTACTTGTGTTGCCTGCAAAGGAACATATTTCTAAGGTATACTCCCAAGAGGAATCAGATTTGCTCAGCAGCACAAATCTGTTTGCAGTGCATAAATATTATTCCACTTTAGCAGCTCTTTTGCAATGATACTTGTGACTTTGACTGTCACCTGCCCATATTTGAGTAGCTTCTTTTTACAGTATGTATATTCATTTTTTTGTAGCTCCAGAAATTAATTACTCCTTACCCTCAAAACACTAGTCACTCATCAGCAAAACTTAGGCTGCTATGCCCCATTTAAACTCACACCATTTAAACAATATTGATTTAATAAAAAGCAGGAAAAGAAGTTTGGAAGCAGGAAAACCAAAGTGGAGCTCAGTAACTCTGACTCAGCAGCACTAAATTCTGGTGCAAATTTAAACCCCATCTTTTTGGTTGCAGCACAGGTGAATGAAGTGAATGACTGATGCCAGCATCAGAGTTTTAAGACAGTGATTAGAAAACTTTGGCTACAATTTCTTCACTAGATTTTAGGAGATCTAGGTTTGGGTTTCTGTTTGAAGTTGATAAGCAATGTGACAGCCAAGGACATGACTTTATTGATGTGCTGCTGTCCTGTGACACAGACATGGTGATGTGGACCTTCTGGGATACCTCCAGCAGCTGCATTACTTTAGCAGCACAACCCTCAGCAATGCTTGAAATAGAGACATTTTCAAGGTAACAGTGCCTGACATTTATTATGCAGCCATACCCTCAAATCAAAGGACTTGGCTATGTGGACCATTCTGAAAGTGAGGAGAAAGGACCACTTTGCTTCAGCTGTCTGCTTATTGAATGCTGGAAGATTAACTCTGCAGAATTAATCTTGCTATATTGTAAGAGAAGTTTCACCCATTACAACCTGTGGATTCTTTCCCAAACCAAGGATATTCACTAATAGCTTATTCTTCATAGATTCTCTTTGTAGGCCATTTAGCCTGTGGGCTTGTGGTGATCACAGGTTGGAAATGGCGGCTTTGGAAAATGTGTATCTGATTCCTTCCCTTATCTGCCTACCTTCTCAGGAGTCTGGCATGGGCAACCACTGGGGCCTCACCGCAGAGCTACCTCGAGGCTGCTTTTGTTAGGCAAAATTTAGTTACTCCACCCAGGGTGGTGTGCAGAGTACATGCCCTCTCTGTCATGGGAGGAGTAAGGACGCAGCCAGGGGAGAAGGAATGTCAGGGAAAGCTTTAGAAAGTCATGCTTTATGAGGAAATGGAAAGGGAAGGAGCAGCAGTGCTGCATCTGGGGCATCTGTGACTTCCTCCTGGTCCCTGCTTCTTACTTTGGCAGCAGCAGCAACAGCCAGACTATTTTTGTGGGGAGAAAAAAAAAGGACAGTTTTGCCCTGGCCTTTGTGTCTCCACCTACAGCTGCCTCCTTCTTGTGTAGCTATAGCTGCATATACAAAAACGGAGCAATGTGCAGCTAGGTATTGCTGCCTGAATACTGTGCAACCCACCATCCAGCAGACAGGATGTTTTAATCCCATGTTAACTACTCCTTGGTTTCCTCTGTACTTTCTCAGGGTGGATCTAGCTTGTACTCTGGTCTATATGGGGAATTTGTATGAGCTTTATGTGTGCAGATAACTTGGGCATCCCACTTTAAGCTCAGTTCTCTTTGATACACGTACTCATGCAAACCTGTTTCACCCATTCTGGGGATATTTGAGCAGAACTGTATTCCCTGAGGGGAACAATACAGCTGTTCACCACTAAGGCTGGAGCTTAAAGGAACGGTGTTATATACCATTAATTAATTTAATTTACAAGATATTTTCTTCTTTTCTAGTGTTAAAGGAATAATGGTTAAGGTGTGGTCCTGCTATAAAATAACCATGGAGACTATATATTTTTATTTTGTCTATGTGGGTTTTTTAAGTAAATTATAAAATGAGATTAAAAAAAAAAGTTTGTTGTGAATAGTTTTCCGCCATGCAGAATAATGAATTATGACTTCCAAAATGAAATGGAGCCCTCAAGCTGCTTTGTCTTTGTCCTTGAAACTTCCGAAAAGCTTGAACCAAGGTCTACAGGAAACTTTTTCCCCCCTTCCTTGCAGATGAGCTTCTTAGAATCGCATACACATTTTTCTATTTTTACTTTCTGACCTGGGCCCACTTCCAAATGCAAAGCTGAGGAATTCCTGCACTCCTACATATGTGAGACCCAGACTGAACTCGCAGAGCTGGCCAGTTTACCCCCCCTTTTCCTCCCAGACAGCTTACTTTCATCACAGTGCACAATTGAAATTGGAGACCACTTGGGTTTCCTTACTTTGAAAAAGCTCAGAAAGAACCTTTGCAAGTCCTAAAGAAAGGCTGCAGAGAGGAGCTGAAATTAAGTCAGCAGAGTTCACAATTTGTCTTGGATAAGAGCCTAATTCAGTTTATAATGCAAAGTCTATGCCACAGCTCCAGCACCAGGTATGTTTGGGCCGTCCTTCCTGTGCTGTCTTAAGAGCTGTAGAGTGCTTTTGTGTATTTTCACCACTCTGTAAAACTCTGGTGCAGTGGTAAGCTCCCCTCTTTCTCTGTTATTGGAGGAAGAAAGATGTTGTCATTGTCTTTTCCCCTGAAAGGGATGATGAGTTTGATCTACAAGCTGGGCTGGTGTGGGGGAGGAAAGAGAGCAGAGCTCCCTTCCCCCAGCTGCTGTTTGTCTGACGCAGAGCTTGTACTTCAGTTGTTATCAGCTGCTTTGGTAAGATCACAATGTGCTGGAATTGCTTAGAAGGTTAAAATATGTTGACTGAATTTTCTTCAGCTACCAATGCAAAAGGCTAGCTAATAGCATCACCAGCTGTCAAAAGCAGCCAGACCTTGCATTTCTCAAGGTGATGAAACACACCAGAGTTTTTCATGGCTTATATACATCATGATACCTATTCTGTGTATGTCATGTCAGGGATAGGAACAATGGGCATGCCAGCCAATAGATCCATCAGCGTTTGCAAACAAACACACAAAATTGCCTCTTTCTGTGAATTACTTGTTTTGTAATGATTTGTGATGATGTATAAAGGGAGATGAGGACTTTTAATTTTGGACCTTTTTCTCCTAGTCTGTCTCCAATAATTCTCAGCTTCTGTAAGATACCCTGCTGTTTGCCTTGGTGACCTCTTGACTGTCTTCAAATCTTGTTTCAAGAGCTATCGTTTCTCTGTGCCCT